TACCAGAGGTAGAGCAACCGGGATGAACGATGGTTACTTTACCTGGCAGAATCTCCTCCGAATCTTGAGCCTTGAACAGCGTCACCAGCGACAGCAACCACTCCACACATCGTGCATGTCGCTCCGGCTTGCCCTTCGGCCACTCATCAGGCATGAACAGCCTGACACCAGACAGCGAGTCCAGGTCGCCCAGCCTCCTCTCCAGGTTCGCCACGATGCGTTTAGCAAAGTCGGTGCAGAGGTCAATGCATCCGTCGTGATCCTCAGGGCCGTCATACCCGTCCACGGGGTTGCCGTGGAGCGTGAAGGTGATTTTCTCGGGTCGGCCGTCGGAGTCGACTCCCTCCATAGTCACGTCGCGCTTCTTTCCAGGACCGTAGCGCTCGATAAAGGGAGAGAGCCAGCGGCTCGAGCCACCGCCGAAGTCGTCCCCACAGTCGACGTATCGACTCTCCAAGTGTGAGGTCGTGCGCTTGATCTGAACATTAAGAGAGATGAGATCCAGCTGCCAACGGGAGAAAGGGGAGGAACACAGTGTCAGTATGGTAGCTTCCGCGACAATGTAAAACATATTCAATCAAACTGAATTACCTGTCGTTGCTGGAAGGACTTGTTCAGGAGGTTCAGCTGCTCAAGAACATCAGCCAAAAAGTACATGGAAAAAGTGAAGCCTGTACAAGGTGGCAAGCAGATACATAGTGGAATGGTACTCCTTGAGGAAAATCACAACTGCACGCCATACGTCAGGGATGCGAAGTATGGCTTCACCCCGAGACAGCCACCGAACTTGGTGTATGCCCTGGACTTCCAGGCTTGTCTCTGTGAAGAGCTGCTGGAGGTCCATGAACCGTTGGTGCTTCGGGGCAGAGCGTCCCAGAAGGTCAGCCGTCACGCGGACGAGGTCGTCGACCATGTCGAAGACTGGTAGAGCTTCGGCCGCCTCCTTAGCGGCAAGCGCCTCCCTGCGATGAAACTTAATGGTTGTATTAGAACTATGAACAAACAATAAAGACAGACCGGGAAAGATGCAACAACACCCGCACCTGTGGGCGATGCAGTGACACGAGACGAGGTGTGGGACCCTCTCTCGTAGGCGAACCACCAGTCCAGCTCGACTCCCCATCATCACCCCAGCACCGTCGGTGCTGATGCCCGAAATCCTCTGCACCTCGACACCAACTGCCTGCAAGTGAGAGAGCAGCAGACTCAACAGGGTGGATGCGTCAGCTTTCTCAACAGTGATCAGTTGCATAAACTCCGACACGAGTTTGTTGTCGCGGATGAACGTGGCGTACACTATCATGTGCTTGACCCTGCAGCGATCGGTGCTTTCGTCGAGGCTGATGCCAATGAACGGGCTTCGGAGGATGTGCTCCAGTTGAGTCGTTTGCAGCCAGGTTGCCATTGATTGCACGAGTTCGCCATAGCCGTACCTGCCATTCAAAAACAGCGTAGTATTAGCGAAACCGAGCATTCAATGTTACGAGGACATATGTAATAAATACTCACGTGGTGTAGTAGGTCCCGTAACCTTTCTTCGGGAATCCTTGAACCCCCTTCTGCGCCATATACTGCACCAACTTCACCCATGTCCCCATGGGTGCGTCGCACCGGCTGACGAACAAAAGTACGTCCAGCAGTGATACAACACGGATCTTCTCAGCGTCGACGGCCGCACAATGCTCGTTGATGCAAGGCTGCGAAGTCGCGGCAGCAAGCAGGGCCTCCTGCTTCTCCAATGCCAGCTTGTGCTTCCGCGTCCCGGCGTGCTTGCGAAACGCTTGGGTTTGGACGTCGGTCGCACCTTTGCCGGTCTTGCCACATTGTCCCCTGACACCAGCATGCTTGGAGCAGAGACTGCACTTGAAAGCAGGCAGACCACGAACAGTTTTTGTTAGGACAAGCCACGGAAACCTCTCTACCCACTTTGTTTTGTACTTCTCCAAAGAATCGGCATAGATAGCATCGACAAGCTCTTGCACGTTGATGTCCAGAGAAGGGCGCACGGTGGATTCGGCGACGACAGGTTCAGAGACTGGGACGTTTGATAAAGACTTCCCGAAACTCAGCCGTTGCTGCTTGAGTTTGACTTTGCGCGAAGAGGACGATTTCGATGTCGACGTTCCAACGAGAACTGTGTCGGAAACACCAGCAGTCGCAGGAGTGCCTGCCCGTATAGAATCCGGGCTAGAAGGCTCGGCGGGTGTCTCAGGAACGGGAGGATCTGGATCTAGTGGGGTTGGCAGTGGAGGTTGAATATGGCGACCTAGAGAGCTAAGAAGAAGATCGAGGCCCGTACGGGCTTCCTCGATGGCGTCAGCGTCAGCGCCGTCTAAATCCACTCCGTCCTCGTCGTCAGAAAGGGCGTCGCCATGGCCAGCCATGGCGTAACAGCGAACAGAGAGTGTGCCGAGGACCGTCCCGGCTAGAGGAGAATGAACCAAAACCCTGGCGAGGATGGGTGTGGTGGGGTGGGCCTGCAGGAACAAGATGGGATGGGGGTAATCAAGAAGGAGCTGGTGAAGAAGGGTTTGTTGCAAGGCGACGCGTCGGTTGCCAGCATGCACGAACATGGTTGCGTGTTCGGGGTGGGTGATGTGGGGGTGGTTGCCTAGTCGCGCGGCAACAATGTGCTTGGGTGTGCTGTGCTGCTGCATGGTGCGTGCGAGATGTTGTTAACGTGCCATTCGCCAGAAAGTGATGTGGTTGCCCAAAACAACCAATCACGAGCGAAGAGACCTGCGCTCGGCGATAGCAGTGCAAGGTAAGTGCGAGAATGATGCCACTTCCTAGTGCGTTGGTGGGGAATCTTGACATCTCGCCGTGATTGACGGGGGGTCGGTCCTTCCGGTGTACCTAGACAGCCGTAATTCAGGGCACCCACGCGAATCCCCTTTAAAGCGATTTCAGCCCACCCCCTCGAGCCAACTCTGATCAGTCAGTGTGTAGTACAGAAAAAAAACTGAAAATTCAGCGATACATAACAAACAAAAACTGAAATTTCAGCCCACACCTAAAAAAAAAAAGCTGACAAATCAGCCCCACTAAATCCCCAGCACTGAAAACCTAACCTTTTTACCCCTAATCAGCCTTTTTTCGCTGACTTCTGAGGCCCTGGAAGGAATACGCAGCGACTTAGCTAGCCATGTACTGTAAGGGGTACATTCCCTTATTGCAGCGAAAACCAATCGTGCGACTCCAGACCGTTACGAATTGCTTGGGCAGAATCCTCGCCACTGCTGCTGCCTAATGGTGTCTGCCCGACGGTTCAGATCCTTTCATAACTGTACGACCCTTCGCATCACTTCCGCCTTTTTGTCTTCAGGCCCAGTAGCATGTGCTTCGATTGCTGCGATGAGTGCACAGTAATGCTTCATCAATCACTATTCGTAACATCAACGAGTATACCTGATGGCCAACATCACCAATTTGTGTATCGTGCATGATGCATGGCTGTTCTTACCAACATTACAAACTTAAACATCGACCTAAATAAAATGTGGCCTTCCATAATGCGTAACAGCTCGACTCACGCTAAAAAAACACTACGAAAAAGTTCCGGTAGGTCAGTCCCAACTAAGTCGACACTCTCTCCTGTATGTGACATAGGGGGTATTGGGGATCAGGTTAAAATGAGCATGCCCACTTCACTTCATGAGCAGGCCCCACGATATCAGGGCAAAACATCCTGATTACCCTGAATTCAGGATGCATCTTTGATTTTGCCCTGTAATTTCAGAATAGTGTCACTTTTAACCCTGAGCTCTCAGGATGTTTTTATATGCAATGCCCTGGAAAATCAGGATGGTTGTGGCGTACTTCCCTGTAGCGTCAGGATGAATGTCGAGGCTTGCCCTGACGATTTTTTTTTTTTTTTTTGGGGGGGGGGGGGGGGGGGGGGGGGGGGTTGCCGTTTCCCGGGATTTTTTTCCCCGTAAAATTTTCCGCCGCGGGTTGCTTTCCCCGTGTATTTGTCCCGCCTTCGCGATCCCCTTGCACTTCCGACCCTGCCCAATGCACCAACCAAACCCATCAGATGGGGAAAACAGGGAACAATCCCATCTCGTCGTGTCGTGTGCCATGCATGCACTAGGTGGGTGACTCTCTGATGTTGAGCCTCCTTCCAGTGTTGCTGTTAGAGTAGCAACACAAGTGAAGCTCGGCTGGCTCACTCGCACTAGTAATGGCCAACGAGGAAAATGTCGCGGCGCCAGTATCATCGGCTAGTCGACCACAGGGTTTGACAGGATTAGACTTCTTGCGAAGTGCCCATACCGTGACCACCTTACCGGTAGTTTCACCCGCTGCTGGTTCATCTCCAACTCAAGCAGTAATACCACCCCGTGCTAGTACAATCCCCACCTGTGTTTTACGACCTGGTGCAACACGGATCGGCCCTGCCGCTAGTGCTAAGTTAAAAGTGACCAAGCACAAACAGTCGCGCTTGTCTTTCTCTCGCTTTAGTCCTATGGAACCTACCGTACGCATCCGCATAGAGCCAGTAGTACCAGGACCATCTGTCGTTCCTGCAACATCCTCGTCTACTGAGGAACTGTCCGATGAGGCAGAAGAAAAATACCAGGAGGCGCTTATGAAGTACAAACGAGAATGGTCAACTGATTTCCCGTGGCTCGTGCTTTGTCAAACCTCCTTCGGTTTCCCTTCGGTGAGGTGCAGTTTGTGTATGGTGCACGCAGGACACGACACAAACTACGGCGCTGCTGGCGAAGGTGCCGTCGACGTCCAAACCCAGGCATTCCGCACGCATCAAAGTTCCAGGAAGCACAAACGGTCCGTCAAGAGACAGGCCCTGGCAGAGCAGGCGGCTGAGAAGCAGCAACGCATCACGGACTGCCCAAAGGCTAGGGATATCCAGCGTGAAAGAGTCATCGCGCTGCTGGAGACCCTGCTATTCATCTGCAAATGTGACGCACCGATTGAGATGTGGGTTCAACTGGTGCGGCACCTAGCAGAGCGGCAAACACCGGGCTTCCCCGAGAATGGCTATGGTGCTTATTACACCAGGTGAGCCGTTGAGCAATAGTCGATGCTCTACTAGGAATCGTTATTGTGGAAAATGCTCACGACTTCCACACCATTGCTAACCACACTACCTTCTTCTGTTGGATGCAGATACGGGTTTGCCGAGCTCATCGCAAGCACTGCCACATATCTGCGTGCTCGTCAGGACGTCTGGTTGCGGTCTAGTCCTTTTATTGGAGTAACCTGTGATGAGAGTACGGATCGTGTGCGTTGCAAACACCAGATCGTGTTTGCCACGTTTCTACGGGACTCTCGTGTAGTCACGGAGTACATCGGGCTACTGACGGTGGAGCAATGCGATGGCGCTTCGTTACTTTCCCTGTTGCTGACACTCCTTGACTCACTTGGTGTTGACAAAAGCAGGGTGGCTGGGATTAGCACGGATAGCGCAGGTGCGATGATGGGTAGCACAAACGGGCTGGTGGCTCGGCTGCGTGTACGGGTCCTGCACCTCTTCTCCAGCCATTGCATTGCACATCGGTGAGTAACACTCATTGCCTGTGTGTGTTGCATCTGAATGCCCATCACGTTGCACAGAAACAACAAGGTAAGCAGGTGCTCACATGATCACCAGCTCATGCCATTCCCCACCCATTTTGTTTCCCCCCTCCTTTCCCTCCCCCCCCCCCTCCCCCCCCCCCCCCCCCCCCCCCCCTCCAGACGTGACGATGCTCTGCTCCATAGTCTCCTCGTGGACGGACAGCAACGGCCCGCGGAAACAGTCGAGGCAACGCCTCCCTCCTCAAACCCACCTCCCCTTCCCTCCCTGTTACCCTCCCTTCTCTCGTGCCCACATCATGTCGTGCAGAGAGGCGCTGGCAGCCAAGGACGCCGCCACTGCAGTCCCTGAGCTGGGCCTAATCGACACCATGCTGAAGGAACTCGCGGAATACCTGGGAAGGTCGCATCCCTCTCACAATGAGTTCAAAGAGCTGCAGGAGGTGTTTTGCCAGACGAACCTTGAACTGCAGGGAATTCACGCAGTTCGTTGGCTGAGCCGAGGCGATGCCATCACGCGCTTGGTGCGTGTGCTCCCTGCCGTCATCGTCCTTATGTGGGAGTGGGACGACGACTTCTACCCCATTGTGACTTCTGTGAAGTTCAATGTGTATCTCTATTACCTCGTAGACATGCTCATCATCCTCAACAACCTCAACCTGGAGTTTCAGAAGCGGGAGGTGAGTTGCCCCGGCCTTCCCTCCCCAACCTTCCCTCCCCGGCCTTCCCTCCCCGGCCTTCCCTCCCCGGCCTTCCCTCCCCGGCCTTCCCTCCCCGGCCTTCCCTCCCCGGCCTTCCCTCCCCGGCCTTCCCTCCCCGACCTTCCCTCCCCGGCCTTCCCTCCCCGGCCTTCCCTCCCCGGCCTTCCCTCCCCGGCCTTCCCTCCCCGGCCTTGTCTCTAAAACAACTGGGGGGATATATCTTGTGCTGCTAGGCCTTCCCTCCCTGGCCTTGCCTTTTGCACCAAACCTGAGGTTGCATGCAAACGTAGCCTCCTTGCCCCGCATCTCCCCCTTCTCCCCCCTTGACTCACCCTTTACTCTCTCCCTTCTCTGCCCGTCTTCCCTACTTCTCCCCTTTCTCTCCCCGTCCTTGTTGAAACTGTACCTTGTCATGTGGCAGGTCGACATGACATCGGTGCAGTCGACTGTGCGCCGCACCTTGATCACCATCCGTACGCGCTACATCGAGTGCAGCGATGACTTCGGTGGCGGCCCACAACAACATCTCGGGGCCTTCCTAGCCAGGCTCAGTAAGTCTCGAAAAGTCACGGTGGATGGCGTGGACAAGGAGGGGCGGCCGCGAAAACATAGCTTCGAGCTGCACGAGGAGGCATTGACGGGCTACAGCAAGACCCCGGATGACTTGCAGTCGTGCCTCGACGTCTGCCGCCGCCACGCCAAGTCGACGCTCAGCCACCTCCAGTCGAGGCTGGGGGATCTTGAAAGCCTGAACGGTGTCAGGCTTTTTATGCCAGACACGTACCCTGATGACAAGGAGAGACGCGCTGAGGAGTGCCTCGAGCACTTTGAGACTCTCGTCGACTTGTTCCATGCCCGCGAGCGAGCAGACATTCTCCCGGGTAAGCACTTATACCCTCGCCTTACCCATTCTGTCCTTTGTCCAGAATCTGCATTGTTATGTCCCTGCTCTGTGTATAACCCGAATATGCCTTGTTCTGTCCCTGCTCTGTGTATAACCCGAACCTGCCTTGTTCTGTCCCTGCTCTGTGTATTACCCGAATCTGCCTTGTTATGTCCTTATTCTGTCCTTGTTCTGTGTGTAATGCGTTGCAGGTGTGGACAAGCGTGCTGCCAAGAGGGAACTGAGGACATTCGTCCCTGTCCTGGCTGGCAGTCCTCGAGGCGAGCGCACTTTTCAACGCGGCCTGGCGGCCATGCTGCAAACGAAGGACTGGGAGCGGAGCTACCCCAACCTCGTCCGCCTCTGGACAGCGGTGGCTGTCCTGCCGCTCAGCACCGTCGAGTGTGAGCGCGGCTTTAGCCGCCAGAACGTGATTAAGTCCTGGCAAAGGACCAGCCTCTGTGATGCCAGGCTCAGTGACCTGATGTGCCTGAGCCTGGTTGAGTATGACATGGAATGGGGTAAAGTTGTGGATTTGTGGCGCAGCAACAAGAAGAGGAGGCCTACTAGGAGAAGGGAGAAGCAGAGGCACAGGCCAGTGAGTGCGGCGGGGAAGGGGGGGGACGTGTTGGAGGACGGACAAGAAACAGATACTGAACATGGCAGCAGCAGCAGCAACGACAGTGGGTTTAGTAGTAGCAGCGATGATGATGATGAGGAGGAGGGCTAATGTTGGAAACAACTGATTTAGGCGCCTCTGTCGTGTCGAAACACCAAGACAGAAGCGAAGTAGCTCGTATCGAAATATCGGTGAGTCAACCCTCGGAGGTTGAATAACTGTTGGAGGTTACGCGAAAGTCAAAGGTCAGCGACCTTTGACCTGACAAATGCAGCGCGACAGCAAGGACAACCAACTGTCTCGATACTGAGCAGTTGCCCGAGTCGACACTGTATCGAACCGCAACAGCAACAGTAAAACAGTTAACTGTATCTCTTCATATTCCTTTGTATTCTTATAAAAGCTTGTATCTCTTTTATTATCATCAACTTACTTTGCCCTCACATACTAGTGCAAGGTGGTTCACAACTCTTTAATTAACGCTTCCGCTACTACACCAACTCTACCCAGAGTTCACCCCTGCAAAGATCCTAAAGGGTTTTTTCAGCCTAACATGGTATGAGAGCTATCAGGGGGAATTCAACTTCTATACCGACAACATCAACAAGCATGGCTACACAAAAGGAAAGGAGCAACTCCAACGGCTACCAGGGCACTACTCCTACTCCACCTCCTGCCTCTGGCCTACAGACAGAGGAGGGCACAGCAACAAGACCCAGAGCAACATCTACCGAGACTCCCGCGAATCAACCTGCAGACTTCGACCAGAGCATGATGGAGAAGTTTTTCTCCTTCATGTCCTTCTACGAGCAACACCAACAATCGGCACCTGCGCAGTCACACAACAGTAACAACAACGGAGCAACACCCATGAGTCTCGACGGCTCATCATATGCACGAGGAAATCAACAACAGCAGCCTACCTTTGCTCCGTACGAGCGCGGGTCCATCAGCTTTATGCCACACCCACAGCCTTCACCTGGACAAGAAAAATCACTGGACGCATTACAAGTTCAGTCGCAGTTCGCACACGTTCTGAAGATGCAGACGTCAAGACCTTTCGATGGAAAGGACTTCTTCACCTGGTCATTCGAGTTCGAGCTGATGATGGAAGGCGCGCAGATACTCGGGTTCTTCGACGGGTCTTTACCATACCCAACAAACGGCACACAGTACGAGAAGCAGCAGTATACCTATCAGTCAATGATGGCGTACACGATCCTACTGAGGAATATCACCCCGACTCAACAGCAGAACATAAGGTCTTACCGAGGTTACGGCAACTCCGCGGAGCTCGCGTACAACCACCTGAAGAGCCTGTATCAAGCAACAGACAGCGTAAGCCAAAGTCGGTTAATGGCGCAACTGACAACGGTTTAAATGAAACCAGGGGAGAAAGGAATGGCGTATATCAGTCGATGTCGCGAGTTGCGCGACAAGCTTCTTCGATGCGGAGGGTCGATCTCTGAAGACGCCTTCGTGACAGTCATCATCGGCGGCCTCAGTCCTCAATGGCGTGCCATAAAGGCCATTCTCCGAGCTCACGGAAGAATCTCCGAAGCAGCGCTCTGCGCCGAAATCCACGCCGAGCAGCAAGACATGGACCTGCAAGAAGAACGACACAAAAAAGAGACATCAGCACCGGAATTCGCGTTCCACACTCAGCGACGCTACAACAACAACAACAACCGGCAGCAACAACCGAAGCTAGTACCTCCGTTCTGCCACATCTGCAAAACTTCAGGACACCCGCGTACGCACTGCCCAAATCGTCAACAGTCAACAATTCCACAGCAGCAACTTCGACCTTCAAGCAGCCAAATTGCCTCAACGCAAGCAAATCCCACGACCCAGATTCAAGCCTCAACGACTTCAACGGGACAACCTGCACAAGGAGCAAGAAACATCGTCAGCTGCATGGCAAAGCTGAGTGACTCCTGTATCACCGAGTCACCACCACACTACTCACCGGAAGAACAACTCGACGAAACCACACCCCGCCGCGAGTCACTTCAGCCAAACCCGACATACGCCGCCATCGCCCAAAGCGAACCATCCGGAAAAGACACATGGTTCTTGGACAGTTGCTGCGGACAGCACATGTGCTCCTCGGGACGCTTCGTTCAACGAGAACACCAACTTCAACACGAAGTTGTCATTACAGTCGCCAACAATCAGAACCTGCGAACACGACGACAAGGCGTAGTTCAACTCCAGTCAAGGGAAACAAACGTTATACTGCAGATGTCAAAAGTACTAATCGTAGAGGGACTCGGCTACAACTTACTGAGCGTCAGTCAGCTAATGGCGAAAGGGATTCACCTCGAAGCAGACAGCACCACCCAAGAATTCAAGCTGTATCATGGGAGAAGAGGACTTTACATCGGCAAGGCGGTCCTCAAGAACAACGTCTTCGTTCTTGATTTCGTTCCTGATCTTGGCACCGCCGACAGCGACGCCATCGTTAACTTCACCAACTGGACACACCCTCCAGACCTTGATCCAGACTTCAGTCCAGAAGGCTTCTGGTACTCACACACCATCCCTGAAGCAGAAAGAACAAGGGCGTTAGCAACAATTCAGACAACATCAACAGCAGCAGAGACAACATCGGCAGCAGCAGAGACAACATCGGCAGCAGCAGAGACAACATCGGCAGTAGCAGAACCATTAACGGCAACAGCAGGAACGTCAACACCAATTGCTGGTCCTTCAACGACACCGCTCCTCATCGACGACACACCACCGACACCTGCGCAACAACTACACCCAGCACCACAAGAAGTTCATCGTAGCGCCAACTTCACCGCCAACTTCTACTCCAACTCCGATATGTACCGACGATCACCCGGACATCGCGCCGACGAAAGCACCTGGCACGCAAGGATGGGACACCCAAGCAACACAGTATTAAACAATACGATAAGAGCAGGAGTACTCGACAAGGACTCACTCCTACTGACCGACGGACGAGAACTTCAACGAGTACGCGGAACGTGCTTCACCTGCCCTGAAGGTGACTTACCACATCGACCGTTTGCGTCTCATCACAACCCGAGCGCACCCGCGTACGCACCACTCGAGAAGGTGTATAGCGACATCCTGTACAATCAGGAACCAGGACAAGTAATATACAACTATACAATCACCTTCATCGACGCCGCCACCCGTTACGTCTGGCACCTAAACCTCCCTAGCCGCGACATGGCATTCGCAGCCTTCGTTGCCTGGCTACCAGTAGCAGAGAGAGAATCGGGCGTGAAACTGAAAAGCTTCCAGTCAGACGGAGGAGGAGAATACACCTCTCAGCGATTCAAGCAGTACCTGGCGGAAAGGGGAATCAAGCGGCTCATCTCCCTTCCCTACGCCCATCAGCAGCAAGGTGTAGCAGAAAGAATGAACAGGACCTTGCAGAACAGCATGCGCAAACTGTTATGTGGCATGCGGCTACCCAACCACCAGTGGCCTGCGGCAATGGACCACGCCGTCATGCTGCACAACTTGCTCTCGTCATCATCGCTTCCAAACAACGCATCACCGCATCTGCTATGGACAGGAAAACAGGGCAGCACAAAAATGTTACGAATATTCGGATGCATGGTACAGTACCGACCCCCAGCAGCACGAGCGGGCCGATTTTCTCAACGAGCACAGTGGGGACTACACCTGGGAATCGAAAAGAACTACAACGCGTGGAAAATCTTCGACGTCCATTCCAAGGAAACAGTAGCAGCACGTGATGTAATTTTCTACGAACGACTCACGCTCCAGACATACCTTGCCAACCTGCAAGAACACCAGGATCCCACAGGTGGTTTTCGCGGTGACCGAGCCTTCGCCTCAGCAACGGACGAAGCTGACTGGGACGAGCAGAATGTGGACAACGCATCAGAAGAAGCCGGACCTCTTCCGTTCTGCTCCGTGGACGTCCCCATGGACGAAGATAACCCTCGCGAAAGTGTCAACGCCGAAACCTTCTACTATTTCGCCGACAACGGTTACGTAACACCTGCGACAGTCAACACCAACGAAGCAGAACGAGTAGGACCCAACTTCATACCTGATCCAGAAGCGGGAGATGAAGCAGCTTATCCCGAGAACGCAAATCTTCCCCGCTACTCACAGAGTGGACTGCAAATTCTCGGACTCGTCACCGCAGTCCACGACACCGCCATTCCTAAAGAGTCTGCGACGGTTCAACAGGCTCTGGGGGGGGAGCATAAGGAAAAATGGCGCGAAGCCATGGACAAGGAGCTGAAGGCACTGGAGGAACGCAACACGTGGAAAGTGGTTCCTATCGGCGTGGCACGGAACAAGACAGTGCTCACCGGGAAGTGGGTCTTCCGTGTGAAGACAAAGGCTGACGGCACCATTGACAAATTTAAGGCTCGCTGGGTTGTACGCGGCTTCGACCAAGAACACGGACGCGACTTCACCGAAACTTTCGCTCCGGTTAAACGCCACACCTCACTACGCATTCTCCTCGCAATCGCCGCCATGAAGAAGAAGAAGCTGCGACAAATTGACGTCGCGAACGCGTTTCTCTACGCACCTGTTGATGCAGAAATTTTCGTCGAGCTACCGCACGGCTCCCACAGAGAACCCAACCAAGTCTGCCAGCTACTCAAGTCACTCTACGGCATCAAGCAGGCTCCGCGACTGTGGCAACAGTACCTGCACACTCGCCTCATCCGCATCGGCTTCAAGCAACTACCGCACGATCAAGGCATGTACCGGCTCACAAAAAACGACGACTACATCCTACTAATCATCTACGTGGACGATCTCCTTTACATCGGCTCGAATGACGGCATCACTACCTGGTTCGAAGGGGAGCTGCAGCGAGATCTCACGCTCACAGTTTCATCTACCGTCACTCAGTACCTCGGCCTCAACATCCGGGAAGAGGAGGACGCGATCTACCTCAGCGCCGAGAAATATGCCGACACCATCGCCAAACGCTTTACGCTCACACCAACAGCCATCTCCACGCCATACCGCTACACGGCAGGGAACGACAAAGGAAGCTCCGCTCTACTCAAGCCCGCCGGCATACGAGACTACCAGAAGAAGCTGGGATGTCTTCTCTTCGCAGCCGTCACCTGTCGCCCCGACCTCTCATACTCCGCAAGCCAGCTCACCACCTACCTCAAGAAGCCTGAAGCAGAACATCTGGCGGAGCTCGACCGCGCTCTTCACTACTTCGTCAGCACCCCAACGATCGGCCTAACTTACTACAAGAACGCAACCACACCGACTAAGTTAATCGGCTACGTCGACGCTGATCACGCTGGCGACTCCGACAATAGGCGCTCCCGCACCGGCTACATCTACCGCCTCGAACCTATCGGACCTATCTCTTGGCAGTCGAGCAAGCAGGAATTAATTGCCCTCTCGTCAGCTGAAGCAGAATATATTGCACTCTGCTCAGCCACCAAGGAAGGACTCTATCTTCGCGAGCTGCTGGAAGAAGCGAAGTTAGCCGAGTTACCCAACTTTACCCTGTTCTGCGACAACCAGTCAGCAATTCGCATCGCCAACAAGAACGGCTTCGCAAACAGGACGAAACACATCGCCCTGCGATATTTCTTCGTGAAGGATGAGATCGAGAAGGGAAGGCTCGAGCTGTCATACTGTCCCACGTCTGAGATGGCAGCTGACTACCCGACCAAGAAGCTCGGAAAGCAGAAGTTCGAATACTGCATGTTGCTGACTGGACAGAGCCACGTCAGCGACACTCCAGAAGCGAAGGGGGGTGTTGGAAACAACTGATTTAGGCGCCTCTGTCGTGTCGAAACACCAAGACAGAAGCGAAGTAGCTCGTATCGAAATATCGGTGAGTCAACCCTCGGAGGTTGAATAACTGTTGGAGGTTACGCGAAAGTCAAAGGTCAGCGACCTTTGACCTGACAAATGCAGCGCGACAGCAAGGACAACCAACTGTCTCGATACTGAGCAGTTGCCCGAGTCGACACTGTATCGAACCGCAACAGCAACAGTAAAACAGTTAACTGTATCTCTTCATATTCCTTTGTATTCTTATAAAAGCTTGTATCTCTTTTATTATCATCAACTTACTTTGCCCTCACATACTAGTGCAAGGTGGTTCACAACTCTTTAATTAACGCTTCCGCTACTACACCAACTCTACCCAGAGTTCACCCCTGCAAAGATCCTAAAGGGTTTTTTCAGCCTAACAGCTAAGAGGAGGTGTAGGAGTTACCTTAGTAGTAAAACTCTAACTATATGTGCTGTGCTGCTCTGCTCTGCTCTGCTCAGCAGAGTTTGGTCTGGTATGGTGTGTGTTAAATTCTGAACCCTGAACATAGGTTTTTTTGCCCTGACAGGTCAGGATTGATTTCTGTAGAAGCCCTGAACATACAGGATGGTTTTGAAAATTTGCCCTGACAAATCAGGGCATTTTTTAAGATTCTAGAATAGTGCCCTGAGGCCTCAGGGTGCCCCAAATGCTAGCACGGGCCCTGTTCATGAGCATTGCCGAGTATTCCATTTATGAAACTAGAAAAAACATTAACCAGTTGACTTGACTCCCTTTCGTATTTGGGAGAGTTGAAGCAAGCAGAAAGCTTATGGCTGGGAGAACTTAAACCACTAGCACCAAATCAACTACTTGAACCATTAGTATGCCAGAAGATCAATTTGATGTTTATATTTGCGAGGACGACCAAGGACAAAAAACCTACAACCACAAACCATTCAGATGCAACCCCTCTGGTTTTAAACCAGATCCTCTTAAAAAATAGGATGAAAAAAAAGACGTTATTTCAGTCTTCCCTTCCAGCACACCCAGCCCACCCACTTCCATGAGTAACTTTTTACACCTTCTCATCATCGTCATCGCCCTTGTTGCTGAGGGGCAGCAGATAGACCACGGCATACGGTACCGCCACAGCAATGCCTGCCAGGATAGGTGCCAGCCAGTAGATCCATTGATTGGACCACAGACCTTGCCACACCGCCGTTGCGAACGCCTGTGCCGGGTTAATAGTTCCGCCCGAGAGAGGCACACCCACGGCAGTGGTGGTCAGGATGGTGAGGCCAATCATGAGGGGTGCGAGTGCGATAGGGCCCCTGGGATCTACGGCGGTGGCGAAAACGGTGAAGATGAGAAGCGAGGCGAAGAGGAGCACTGCCAAGAAACCTGTGCCCGACGAGGTGCCTGCGGGAAGCGACGGCGCGCCAAGAATTCTCTGTTAAGAAGAAGTGGATAGAACAGAGTAGAGGGATAATATTAAATTAAATGAAGTCATGTAGAGGCATGTAGTCATGGCACGAAACAGGAAAATCATAGACAGCACATGGCAAGACGGTGAGTGGGGTGCAGATATCGGGAGTCAGATAGAGAAAAAGGAGAAGCATGTAGTCATGGCATGAAACCGGAAAATCATAGACAGCACATGGCAAGTCGGCCAGTGCGGAGCAGATATCGGGAATGAGATAGAGAATTAAGGACGTACGTTAAGAGATGAAGGCAAGACGGCAGTTGCAAGGCCGACGCCGACAAGCGCCCCAACCATCTGCCCGATGATGTAGACCAGGGCGGACACCACATCAATCAATCCGACGGTGAGCATGGCGATTGTGGTGGCCGGATTGATGTGACCCCCGGAAATGCCGAGTGTTCCGGCCACTGCGAGCGCGTAGGCGACGCCGTTACCCAACGCGATGATGACCACCGTTGTGAGAGGCTCAATCTTGGCTCCTGGGGCTGCAGCAAAGAAGCGAGCGACAGAGCCAGGAAATTAATCGAGGAAAATGGCAAAAGAAGTAATCGAAGTGGGTGATGCAAGGACGACAAGGGCAAGGAGCGATACGACTTTTGCTCAGCAAAAGTCTACCAGGCTGTGGAACCAGGTCTACAGCAAGCAGTCAGCGGGTCCTCGACTCATCGTCACACGTGACCCATCAGATTTGGAAGTACGCAAGCAATCAGAATCGTACACAAATTCGCAGGTGCATGCGTCCATGCGATTCAGTGTGCAGCTGCTAATGAAATACAGCTTGTCCAATATCCTCCCCATGTGCCTCAACGGCTAATTCAAATTTATCCCGATTCACGGAGTGTCTATTCTTTGAATGCGAAAGATGACAAGCGACTTACTGACGATGGCTGAGCACAGCACGCCTTGAAAGACGAAGTACATGGTCCCGACAATCTCCGCAATCGCGCACTGAAGCAGCACCATGGGCGCCTTGAACTGCATCCATTGCTTGAACACATGAGGCGCCGGCGCCATTGCTTCGGAGTGGTTCGACTTAGAGTCGAAACAGATTCAGATGCAAGGCAGTGGCGAAGACGAGACTGTCTCGTGAGACGCGAAGACGTTAGGACGTTGAAAACGAGTATGAATCTCGAATGACTTGGAGCTTCATTTTATGCACGAGTCTGGTCTGAGCGCTCCCCGCTCACGACTTCCAATGGCGTGAGGGGGATAAGCATCCCCCCCCCCAGCCTGAATCTTGTAGGTACATGAATTGATAGGGACTTCACGGCGTGCGGACCGCAATATGGAGGCTAAGAGTCTCCTGGACAGGCAGTCAGACTATGTCTGACACGAACCTGTCTCGATCAATCTCGGACAACTGTGAGCCACTCATGGAATATTCAAACATTGCGTTTAGGGCGGGTCCCGAGAGTACGTCTAAATGCGGCTCAATGATGCTTGGTACGGTTGAGAGCGGTATAATCAATATTAAAACGGTTAAGGAAATGCGTGATAACGCACTTTCGGGACCCGCCCTTATGCCTCTCCTATCCCCCCCCTGGTACACTTTCCCTAGCTCGTTAATCTGTACCTCGTGGCGGTGGTTCCAGGTCAAATAGGGGTGGTGCTGATGTCATAACGAGTGGGGTTCGCCTCGGTCTGTCAATAGTGGAGGTGGCGACGCGCTGAATGTTAATAGCCCGAAATAGTTTTAGGCTTTATATGCAGAGAGGGTGCTGACCGAAAATAACAGTCGCTGTGCTTGCCAGCGTTGGAAATGTTGTGGAAATCGCAACAAGTGTGTGTGTAAGGGGCAGGCTGAAAGCGGGGCTTCAGGCTTCGTGATACTGTGGGGAACTCGATCATTTATGAACTCAGGAGGAGGAACCAACTAGTCCAGGTCAGGGCTCTCGATTCATTTTGGGGCACGCTGCCTGATCCGAGTTGTGACCCGCTACACCCTGCCTCTGCAGTGTGCCTTGGCGGTCGTACCCAAGAAATGGCAGTGTGGTTTTTTTTCGAGGTCTAATCTGGCAGGGTGGGAAATCCAGAAACACTGCCTAGTAAAAAAATTTAGGTATAGCAGTCGATCCTGCCATATCGATGATTCCTAGAAGCCAGAAAATCTTGTCGAACTGGGTCTTCCTGGCTCGATTCCAAGTGGTCGTCTCTATGCGTAAGTGCGTGGTGGTTGAGGTTTTAGTGGTGTAAGGTGGGGAGATGAGAGGCCTGTCGGTGGGTCTTCTAGGTGCGGTCACTACGATAACGCGCCACTCTATGTGCTGGATCTGAATCTCTGGTGTTGAAAGTACTTAGCCGATTCTGGAATTTCAGTCACAAACGCTACTAAACACATTTCAGTCACAAACGCCACTCACCGTGCTAGAGCTGAATCTCTGGTGTTTCAAGTACTAATCCGACTCTCGAAATGTCACTCACAAACGCTACTTAGAGGAATAGCCGCGCAGTTAGTAAAGTTCAACAAAAGAGGAAAAGTTGGCAGGGTGTCTGCCGTAACCATCCAGGAAAATGCAGTGTTGCACATAAGCGTTAAACAGCATTTGCAGGGGTCATTTTCACCCCTGCCTGACGATACAGGGTGGACGCCCAGCCAAACCCAATTCTAGCAGTGTGGGTCCAAAATTTCACCCTGAAATGCAGGGAAAACAGGGTAAAACGCCCCGATATCCTGAGCCCTGGTCCAGGTATCGTCTATGCCAGGTTGGGCCAGTGAAGTTCTTTCGGTAGAATTCCTCCTCCCACAGCCACAGTTTTGCGATGAGATTCATTATCCTTGTTTTCCAATTCTGCATGGCATCCTTACTGTGCAACAGCGAGGTTGACCACGATAAGGAGCCGTGAATTGCGGTGAACCGCTGGTCATGTTTGACATCGATGACAGGTTTTTTATTGCTTGAGCCTTCGCTGATGTGGCAGACTGTGCACCACGGAACTTGTCGAAATGTGCTAATTCAGGGTTTACCCTGGAATGAATGACTCAAGTGGTGCTTGGTCTGAGATTGTTTGAGTGCTGGTTCTGCACTTACGTATCGTTCTTTTGAACCTCTGTGCGCTCAAGGTTCAAAGAAACCTCCTCACCTCTGCGCCTACCTTGAATTTATGGGGTGATTCACTGCCCCGCATGGCTCAATGCTACATGCAACAACAGCATTTCTTTCTTACAGTATGTTGTTATTTATTATCCTTGGGGATGGTGGTTGACAATAGAGGTCATGAAAGTGGCAAAAGTACCATTGGAGGTCTTGCAACCCAGCTTTGTTGTTACATATAAGCATCTGATAGTATGAAGCAAGAAAACATATCGTTGAGTTTCTCTCATGTCCCGTGACCCATCCATGCAGGAATGCTGAGACAGGCACAACCAAGCAATATCATTGCAACCAATCTTGCCATAGTGAAAGCAGAATGCTACTAGCTGATTGTTGATACAGTGACCAACAGAATATGGTACAGCTATAAAGCCCCATAAGAGAAAATAAGTAAGATTATTGTATTAGGTCAACTAAACTCCACTCGCTCAAAACTCTCTAGTGCAGAGATCTCGGAACCCCATGTTTGCGCCTGCCATCCAATCGTGATACATGTTCACACCGCCATACGCACCAAGAACAATCCCGCTCAGCCCGATAACCGACCCGAGCGCGAATATAATCACAGAGGGCTTGCCGTAACGCATGACAATAGCACGCACAATGGACAGACCGGTGAAGGCTGCAACCATCGCTATTCCGGCAAAGACGAGGGCCACCTCGATGGGGATGCGGCCGAGGAGGTAGAACTCGAGGACTGAGAGAGACGAGGAGAACACCACCATGAAGGTTGTGGTCGCTGCCGTGACCTGTTGTGGGGAATGGGGTTAGGCGGGGGGGTGGTGGGCGGGAGGGGAGGGGGGAAGGTGGGGCGGAGAGGGGAATGGGGAGCATGGGGGTGACACCTTAATGGAAAGGCCAGTGAAGGCTGCGACCATGGCTATTCCGGCGAAGACGAGGGCCACCTCGATGGGGATGCGGCCGAGGAGGTAGAACTCGAGCACGGAGAGCGATGAGGAGAAGACCACCATGAAGGTTGTGGTCGCTGCCGTGACCTGTTGTGGTGGGGGTTGGTGGGAAGGGGTTGAGGGGGGTGGGGAGGGAGAGAGGGGTGTGGGGGGTGGGGTGTGGGAAGACCAGTTGGAGCATCTTAGCATTGCCTCAAAGAGGCCGAGGAGGCAGAACTCGAGCACGGAGAGCGAGGAGGAGAAGAAGAGGACCATTCGAGGAGGAGAAGACCACCATGAAGGTTGTAGTCACTGCTGAGACCTGTTGTGAGGAAACTTGTCGGTAGGTGAGGGATGGACGAGGGCATCCGGCATTCAACCCACCTGAGGAGGCAGGTTGAGTTCGAGCAGCACAGGGCCCATGACCATACCGCCTCCTATGCCGATGCTTTAGCAGTACACACGCAGAAGAATTCCCCACCTGCCAGCCTGCCAATCCTGAACCCACCTGGGGGGGAAGGTTGAGTTCGAGCAGCACAGGGCCCATGACCATGCCGCCCCCTATGCCCAGCAGCCCACCCATCACCCCTGCAATGAACGAGCACAGCGGGTACCCCCACAGCTGCTGCATGCCCCAGTGCGCTGTGTGGTACTCTCCCCTGCTGCTGCTTGCACCCTCCCTCTGCTGCTGCTCCGATGCTTCAACACCAGCAGCACCACCACCACCAGCAGCAGCAGCACCAGCAGCACCACCACCACCACGGCCACGGGAGTTTCTCCTGGGAGACGGGTGGCTTTGCCTGTAGAGACGGAACGCGCCCACGAGGGTGGCGAGCAGGGCAACGGGGATTTGGAGGGCGTTGAGCAGCCAGTAGGGGCGGCTGCAGTCCATTGTGTGCTGCTTGGCGAGCTGTAGGGCGAGGAAAGCCAGCCACACGAGCAGGAGCTCCAGCACTGACCGCCAGTCCACCAGCTGGAAGAGCGACGCCTGAAAGTGGTACGAGGGAAGAGGGAAGGGTTGGAGAGAGGATTGGGAGGGAGACGGGAGGAGAGGGACGGGGATGAGAGGGTGTGCTTGTAGGGGTTCCGCATGCCACACGCACACACCAGGCGCCACACACCACGCGCCCACGAGGGTGGTGAGCAGGGTGACGGGGATCTGCAGGGCGTTGATCAGCCAGTAGGGGCGGCTGCAGTCAGGAGTGTGCTGCTTGGCGAGCTGCAAGGCGAGGGAGGCCACCCACACGAGAAGGAGCTCGAGCACTGACCGTCAGTCCACCAGCTGAAAGAGAGATGCCTGGTGGTGGGAGGGAGGGAGGAGGGAGGGAGGAGTGAGTGGGACAGGAAGAAAGAGGGTGTGAATGTCAAGGCGCCACGCCACGCCCCCACGAGGGTGGCGAGCAGCCAGTAGGGGCGGCGGGGATCTGCAGGGCGTTGAGCAGCCAGTAAGGGCGGCTGCAGTCAGGCGTGTGCTGCTTGGCGAGCTGAAGGGCGAGGAAGGCCACCCACACTAGAAAAGAGCCCAGGACTGACCGCCAGTCCACCAGCTGGAAGAGTGACGCCTGGTGGGAGGGAGATAAGACGAAGGGGTGCAGATGGGTGCATTTGCTGTAGATATGTCACGCCACACTCCCACACCGCCCACACTAGCAGGAGCTCCAGAACTGACCGCCATTCCACCAGCTGGAAGAGCGACGCCTGGTGGGTGGGACGAGGGGAGTGGGACAAGGATGGGTGAGTGCATTTGTTGTGGAGACGCCACACCGCCCACACGAGCAGCAGCTCGAGCAATGACGGCCGCTCCAGGCGTCGCCCTTCTAGCAGCTCCACCAGCTGGTGAGAGGGACGGAAGGAAGAGGGTGAGACGTGGGAGAGAGACGGGAGGAGTGGGACAGGGACGGGTGGGTGTGGTTATAGAAGCGCCACGCTCCCAGGAGAGTAGCGAGCAGGGCGAGGGGGACCTGGAGAGTGTTGAGCAGCCAGTAGGGGGAGGGATTCGAACCCTTAAAGTTGATTCAACCGCGCCAGTTTTCAAGACTGGAGGCTGCAGTGGGTGCAGATAAACAAACAGATCAACTCACCTCCAGCGGTGCTCCGAAATGCAGCTCCTCCATCAGGCTCTTGGTGCGCACTGCAGACCCCTGCACCGTGCCTCCCCTTCCCCCTCCCCTTCCCCCTCCCCCTCCTCCAACTCCACCTCCTCCTCCTCCTCCTGCTCCACCTCCTCCTGCCCCTGCCGCTGATGCCTCAGGCTGCAGCAACGGGGTGGTGAGCCCCCCAGAAGCAGCAGGAGCTTTAGAATGGTCCTGAGACTCTGAATCAGATGCTGAGTCAACCCCTGAAGGAGCAGAAACAGCAGACGGGTAGGAAGCTTCCTGCTGCGGCCTCTCTCCCTCTCCCCCTCGCACTTCCTCCCTTGTTCCAGCCTTCTTCTTCTCCTTCTCCCTCCGCCCCTCCTCCCCTCCCCTCTCCACCACACCTGACTCCCCATCCTCTACCCCCTGCCCCGGCACATCCAGACGCACCCCTCCGTTGTTTCCACCTGAAAAAAACCCTGAACCAGCAGCAGAATCACCAGCACCAAAACCACCGCCAAAACCATCATCATCATCATTATCCTCAAATCCGGCAGCAACAGCCGAAGCAGCAGCAAGAGCAGCAGACAGACCGAACCCACCACCGCCCATGCGACCCGCACTCCCACTCCCGCGGCTGTAGCTCCCTCCGCCCCCCCCGCGGGGGCTCAACCCTCCGGCACTTGGGCTCACAAACACAGGCGGAACCACCGGCTCGATCGGGCCCAGAATCCTCCGCCCTTTGCTGTTGCTGTTGCTGTTGCTGGCAGCAGTGGCTGCAACAGCGTCAGCAGCAGTGGCAGCGCCAGCAGCAGCAGTGGTGGCGGTGGTGGTAGCAGCGACAGCAGTCCAGGATTCGTCCTGGTTTGAAGGTCCGGTGCCGCCAGTGCTTGGCCCGGCATTGCCGGACCTGTCATTGCCGGACCTGTCAGTGTCGTCCGGTGATCTTCCCACTCCTGGACGCCCGGCATAGTGCGTCTCACTCCCGAACCCAAACACCCCCTCCTCCCGAGCCAAGCCGTCCCGAGCCTGGCCTTCCCAAGCAAGGCCGTGCCGAGCCAAGCCCTGGTACCCCACAGCCCCGTGGTGGCTGGACTCTGCTGGCTCGCCCACACTCTCACAGTCAAAGAGGGCCCGCACGGAGTGGGCGTGGGATTGGGCGTGCAGGGAAGCAGAGAGGCGGAGCACGTCGGACCAGGAGGAGGGGAGCGAGGTGGTTCGGTCTGATGGGAGCAGCCGCGTGATGATGGGGCGGGGGGGCGCTGGGGGGAAGAGGGGGAGATGAATTGGGGAAGGGAAGTGGGGAGAGAGGGAGGGTTTTGGGAAGAGGCGTCTCGGGTATTGAAATCGTCTGAGAGACAAGCTAGCCCACGTGGAGAGGAGATGAAGCATGCTTTCCTGTCACGCGGGCAGTTCTTTAGCTTGCTCTTAGGCTTAGCCTAGTTACTGACACTAGCAAGCTTGGCGTTGCAAGCACAAGTGCAGGCTCTAACCCTCAAATCTTTCACACCGGGCGCACACGACTTGACACGTAACCTTGTGATACCAGCGGTTGTGACACTTGACCTCGTGACATGCTCAGTTACAACACTTAGCCTCTTCATCCTTACCCTCATGACACGAGCTACGACACGAGCAGCTACGACACGAGCAGCTACGACACGAGCAGCTATGACACGAGCAGCTATGACACGAGCAGCTATGACACGAGCACTCACAGGAATCACTGAAGGAAGGGAGAGGGGTTGCCCTCACTGAAGAATGCTGGGGGTTGGAGGGACGAGGAACAACAAAGAAGGGGGGGCAGGGAGATGGGGCAGGTGGGTGGTGAGGAAAGCGAAGGGATGAGAATAAATGTACTGATTGACAATTGACCTGCATTGACCTGCATTGACCTGCACTGACTTTCTGAAACTCACCTGGTGTGCCACCTGGAAATCTATCCACATTGTACGGGCCGTTGACCTACAACAATGAGCCGCATTGACTCACATTAACCCTCATTGACCTGCATTGACTCTCTTTGACTCACCTGGTGCGCGACCTGGGACTCGTTTATCCACATGGTACGGGCTGTTGACCTGCATTGACCCACATTGACGTGCACTGACCTGCGTTGACCTGCGTTGACTCTCTCTGACTCACCTGGTGCGCCACCTGAGACTCCTTCATCCACATGGCCACGCCCTTGTCCAGCGTCTTGTACGTCATCACTGCATGGTGCAATGAGGTAACAGGCAGTAGAATGAGGTGTGTGAGTGAGTGGGTATGACATGGTATGGTGTGATGTGTTGATGTGTGCGACATGAGGCAGATGATTCATGTGTGCGACATGAGGCAGATGATTCATGGCCATGCCCTTTAGGCAGATGATTCATGGCCATGCCCTTTTCCAGTGTCTTGCACGTCATCACTGCATGGCATGGGGTGGTGTGTGGTGCAGTGCGGTAATGCAATCACACACGCACTCACACTGTTCCCACTCGTGCACTCCTACGGGCACTTACATAGCAGCAGCAGGAAGAGCATAACAGTGATGAGCCAGGGCGGGAAGATGACGTTGCAGGTGACTCCCACGCTGATGCCCAGCAGCAGCAGCAGCAGCAGCAGCAGCAGCAGCAGCAGCAGCAGCAGCAGCAGCAGCAGCAGCAGCAGCAGCAGCAGCAGCAGCAGCAGCAGCAGCAGCAGGAAGCGTGCATGGCTTGAGGCACACACCCATACTAAAGCCACACAAACAAGCACATGCACTCACGCATACACTTACAGAGCAGCAGCAGGAAGAGCATGACGGTGATGAGCCAGGGCGGGAAGATGACGTTGCAGGTGACGCCCACGCTGATGCCCAGCAGCAGTGTGGGCTGCATGAGGCGCGCCAAGCCGTAGTCTATCAAGGGCTGGTGGAAGGTGGGGTGCTTCAGCTGCACGTTGAAACACACGCTCGCCAACGCGCCGCCCATTATCATCGCTGGTTGGGGGTGGGGGCAGTGGGGGTGGAAGGAGGATGGGGGGAGAGGGCAGAGGATGAGGCGCGCCAAGCCGTAGTCAATGAGCGGCTGGTGGAAGGTGGGGTGCTTCAGCTGCACGTTGAAACACACACTCGCCATGGCTCCGCCCATTATCATCGCTGGTGGTGGGGGGAGGAAAAGGAGGCCGGGGGGAAGGGGGGAAAGGGGAAGGGGGACAGGGGGGGCAGCAGAACAAGGGGGACGAGGGGCAGGAGGATGGGGAAAGAGGGCAGAGGGTGAGGCGCGCCAAGCCGTAGTCAATGAACGGCTGGTGGAAGGTGGGGTGCTTCAGCTGCACGTTGAAACACACACTCGCCATGGCTCCGCCCATTATCATCGCTGGTGGTGGGGGGAGGAAAAGGAGGCCGGGGGGAAGGGGGGAAAGGGGAAGGGGGACAGGGGGGGCAGCGGAACAAGGGGGACGAGGGGCAGGAGGATGGGGAAAGAGGGCAGAGGGTGAGGCGCGCCAAGCCGTAGTCGATGAGAGGCTGGAGGTGGGGTGCTTCAGCTGCACGTTGAAACACACACTTGCCGTCCAGTAAGTCGAGTAGATAGGCTGGTTTGAAAGCACTTCTCACTCACATTTGGACAGTGCAGTAGACGTCTTGGCGTCATATCCCAGTAGCAGGTTGAACGTGGGCACGAACAGCCCGCCTCCCCCCACGCCCCCTACATTGGCGGCTGTGAGACGACTCGAGAGTCGGCTTCTTGCATTTGAAGAGGGCAGTAGATGTCTTACATTTTGAGAGTGCGGTAGATGTCTTACATTTTGAGAGTGCGGTAGATGTCTTACATTTTGAGAGTGCGGTAGATGTCTTACATTTTGAGAGTGCGGTAGATGTCTTACATTTTGAGAGTGCGGTAGATGTCTTACATTTTGAGAGTGCGGTAGATGTCTTACATTTTGAGAGTGCGGTAGATGTCTTACATTTTGAGAGTGCGGTAGATGTCTTACATTTTGAGAGTGCGGTAGATGTCTTACATTTTGAGAGTGCGGTAGATGTCTTACATTTTGAGAGTGCGGTAGATGTCTTACATTTTGAGAGTGCGGTAGATGTCTTACATTTTGAGAGTGCGGTAGATGTCTTACATTTTGAGAGTGCGGTAGATGTCTTACATTTTGAGAGTGCGGTAGATGTCTTACATTTTGAGAGTGCGGTAGATGTCTTACATTTTGAGAGTGCGGTAGATGTCTTGGCGTCATATCCCAGCAGCAGGTTGAACATGGGCACGAATAGCCCGCCTCCTCCCACGCCCCCCGCATTGGCGAGCGCTGCCCCCACGAGGGAGATGAGAGCAGCTAGCACGACCCGCGGCCCGAACACGAACGGCTGTTAGGAACGGGGAGAGGGAGGAGGGGAATGGGGAGAGGGGGGAGAACGAGTGTTGGAAGGGAGGAGTGGGTTGGGAAAAAGAGAGAGTGCCACCAGCACCTACCGCCACGCCCCCGGCATTGGCGAGCGCTGCTCCCACGAGGGAGATCAGAGCGACTAGCACGACCCGGGGACCGAACACGAACGGCTGATGTGGTAGGGTGAGGAGGAAGGGGGAGGGGAGGGAGAGAGAGGGGAAAGGAGAGGAGAAGAGATGGGGGGCGGGGAGGGGGAGGGGGAGGGGGAGGGGGAGGGGGAGGGGGAGTGGGAGGGGCAGGGGACGGGGGAGGGAGAGGCGGAGTGGGAGAGGATGGGGGTGTGCTTACAGGCCATCTTTTATCGCCGAGCCATGCAGCAGTGGGCTTCGACACCCGCAGCAGAGGAAGCAGCGGATGAGTGAACACGCTGCTGCTGCTGCTGCTGCTGCTGCTGCTGCTGCTGCTGCTGCTGCTGCTGCTGCTGCTGCTGCTGCTGCTGCTGCTGCTGCTGCTGCTGCTGCTGCTGCTGCTGCCATTGCTGCAGCTGCTGCTGTGATTGCTGCTGTCGCTGTCGCTGCTGCCGAGTTGGCTGGCCCTGAAACCACTCTGCACCGCTGGCGACGCTAGAAACGAGTGGAACCGACCAAACAGCCCCGCATGCATGCCTCTTCCGCTCGTTACAGTCACTTCCGCCTCTCGCCCTCTCGAAGCCTCGCCTTCCTTCGCTCCAGCAAGGGTCTGAGCCCCAGTCGCCTCGCCCCTCCTCGCTATAAGCACACCTCCTGCTTGCGCTGCTTCCACAGACTCATGGGGCACATCCGCTAGGGCATTCGGCCCAGTCACATCCCACGCCGCCACGTCCGATACTGTCACATTCGACAACGTCACATTCTCCCGGGCAGCAGATCTCCCCCCCATTGTGGAACCTCGGATAGAGTCAACTCCGGCGCAGAGCACAAGGGGACAAGCGGGCAGCAGGAGGAGCAGCAGCATTAGTGGCGCCCGCATCACTACCCCCATCATCCGCAACATTATCATCGGCTCTCTTGATGATTTGAGTGGCCGCGGCCGCAGCGGCGGCGGCAGCAGTGAGAGGAAGAGGGGCAGTGCAGTTTCGGTACAGCGGTTTTCGAGGCGGCTCAAAACGCGTATACTAGCGGCGGCAGCGGAGAGAGAGAGGGAGAGGGACAGCGGGGAGAAAGAGAAGAGGGACAGTGATGGTATAGGGGCTCGCTTTGTGCTAACGGGGGCAGCAGGCAGGCGACGTTGGGGGCAGCAGAACAAGACAACATGTGGAAGGCGAGAAGAATACAGTTGGGGTGATGCAGCAAAGGAGTGGCCACTGCGCGTGAACTAGCACCGATGCTACGCTTGCACCAATCCAGAGTTGCAGCAGTTAAAGAAGAACTGATGGGCTGTCATTAAAGCAGTAATTAACTAGTCCTGAAGCTGCGCTGTAGTTAAGCAATTATGAACCACTAGCACTGATGCTGCAGTTAAGCCACTTCAGCAGCTCAGTTCGCAACCATAGCATGTGTATGCAGGCAGCAGCAGCAACAAAATAAAATACTAACCTAGTACAGTAGCAGCCTAACAGGTAACTCGAAGAAGCCCCCACCAGTGCCGCACTTATGGGAACAGGTGGTAAGCCACTCCTTTCCAACGGCATTCAGAACGGTTAGAAAGAGACAGAGCCGAGCGCCTGTCGCCAATGCAGCTGCCAGGCCACGTCCGCGCGGAAACGACGGGGGAGAGAGAGACGAACCTTCCCCGGAAACTCGGGAACGTGCAACTTGGGTACAGCATCTGTCGACGGGGCCAAATCCGCGACTCGCGGATCGGAACGGGAACTCGCACCCTAGAACTAATGTAATTCTCGTACGGGGAAGGGGTGTCTAGTTTTCGAGGCGCCTCGAGACTCGCAGATCGGAATGTGGAACTCGCACCTTAGTATTGCTCGTAAGGGGAGCAGCGATCTAACGGGACATTATTTCGCGAAGGGGGGGCGGATATCTGGAAGTAATGGGGCATGGGCATGGGCAGGGAGGGACAGCCTGTCTGCTTGGAGGGGCGTGGAGCGGAGGGGCGCGGAGGGAAGTGGGCGTGGCGTGGCGGCTTGTGCGCCGCGTTCAGACGGGGAGGGCTTTATCTGAGCTGGGGGTTCCGACGAGTCTCTGATTTGCTGCGAGGCTGCGATTCGCGGCACGCGAGGATGGAACCTACTGGCATGGCATGTGAAGAGTGAGCCTCTCTGGGTCGGGCGGGCGGGCGGGCGGGCCTGAGGGTTGTGGGTGAGCGAGAAAAAGAGAGAACTTCTCCTATTGGCGGTCTGCTGACACGTGTACTGCTACTAAACTACGTGTGGTAGCAGTAGTATACGTGTACAGTGCTATCCTCACGCGAGTAGTATACGTGTACTATACTCAGTACAGGCTCGGGAGTCAAAAGCTGCGATGGCCATCGCTAGCCGCTGTACTAGCTACTCGTACGTCGCCGTGCGAACGGGCGAAAGTCATGCGATATCGCCACCGTGCCACGTCAGCGAATGGGATGCAATCACGGGGCGCGGGTGGCGCGCGACTCACAGAAGCAATGCTGCTGCTATTGCTGCCATGGCATTCGAGACGCCTGGAAGAATGACGCGCGTTCGTCGCGCTTTGGCGATGGGGGGAGAAATCGAGGCTTGCGACGAGTTAAGGTAGGAAAACGTCGCCTACAAAGTTGTCGCCTCCCTTTTCGCGAAATCCGTGCGCAATCGGAACGCCTAAAGGACAGTTATTCTTTCCCCGCATCCCTCCACACTCCCTTTCCCCGTGCGCCACCCTAGGTCGCCGTCTGTCATGTGGTATTCTAAGGACTCCTGGTTTGTGCTTCCCGTTACCCGTGCTCCCCGTAAGTGCTCCCTCCCCCAACCCCCGCCCGACGCGTCTCCCCTTCCCTCTTCTGCGGCGCGCGTTGCAGCAGCTTCCATCGCGTCATCTCTCTCGCAGCGCTCTTCATGCAGGTTGGGTGAATCTGGCACTTGGAAATTGAAACCTACACCACGCACGCGTCGATTTGAAAATGCAGTGTTTTTAGACGAAGCGGCCTGAGAAACCCTAAAAGTCTGGTGCGTCTGGTGCAGGCTAGGATGAGTACATGTCCAGATACGATGGCTTTCTACAGAGATATATATGAGAGGACAATATTGTATAAACAAACTTCATCTATTGACTCATATGGTGTTTCATATTTTAGCATGACAAGCTTGGACATGATCAAACTTTTTTTTTCCTCACTTCGCTGTCAGAATATATTATATATATATTTCTGTATAACTGCATATAGTTTTAGCTGTAGTGTAGTTACTGTTTTAGTCCCTGTAGGTGGTGCACCCTTTGCCATCTCTCACTCCTATATCTTGTACTTTCTTCTCTTAGTGAAACACCATTTTCCTTCTCAACTTTTCTCTCAACACTTGCCTAGCTTTCACCCTAGCTATGGCCCCTCCTAAGATTCAACATGATATCAGAGCAGTTTCGACCCTTGGGCCCACCACCTACTGCCCTGCGCGCCGCCCTTGTGCAGCCCTACTCTCGACGTTCGGCACGGCCCGTCGCCTGTCGCCCCTAGGCCCGTCGCCCCTCCGCCCGTCGCCCCTAGGCCCCGGCCCCGTGGCCCGTCGCTCGCGCACGACACCCCTAGGCCCGTCGCCCCTAGGCGTCGCCCCTAGCCCGTCGCCCGTAGCGACCCCTGTTGACCGTCGCCCCTAGGCCCCGGCCCCGTGGCCCGTCGCTCGCGCTCGACACCCCTAGGCCCGTCGCCCCTTGGCGTTGTTGGAAACAAATAACTTAAACGCTTCTGAAGTATCGAAGTGTCGACACGAAACGGAGCGGACTACAGCGAAGAAACACACGAGTCAACAAAAACAACCGCTGGAGGTTACGCGAAGGTCAAAGGTCGCTGACATTTGACTTGACGAAAAATACAGTGCGACAGCAAGGACACATAACTGACTCGTTACTGAGCAGTTACCCGAGTCGGCACTGTATCGAACCGCAACAGCAAAAACAGTTAAAGTAGAACTTTGCATATTCCTTTGTAATCATACAAAAAGCTTGTATCTCTTTGCTATTATCAACTTATCTTGTTCTCACACACTAGTACAAGGTGGTTCAACAAACTCTGATATTAAACGCTTCCGCAACTACAACATTCCTACTTCAACCTCGATCTTAGCCTTGAAAGATCCTAAGGGCTTTTCTCAGCCCAACATGGTATGAGAGCTAACAGGGCAAGATCGATTTCTCAAAAACCTACAACAACGCAAGACATGGCAACACAGAAGGAGAGGAGCTCCTCTAACGGATCTCTTGGCACTACTCCTACTCCACCTCCAGCCCCTGGCCTACAGACAGAGGAAGGCACAGCAACAAGACCAGCTGTGGAGTCAACCGCAACTCCCGTGAATCAAGCAGCAAGCTTCGACCCAAGTATGATGGAGAAATTCTTCTCCTTCATGTCCTTCTACGAGCAACACCAGCAATCAGCTCCTGCACAATCAAACAACAGCGACAACAACAACATAGCAACTCCGATGAGCCTTGACGGTTCCTCCTATGCGCGCGGAAATCAGCAGCAACCCACCTTTGCTCCGTACGAGCCTCAACGTGGCTCCATCAGCTTTGCGCCACACCAACAATCTTCACCTGTACAAGAAAAGACACTGGACGCGCTTCAGGTGCAATCGCAATTCGCACATGTTCTAAAACTGCAAACGTCAACGCTTTTCGACGGAAATGACTTCTATACCTGGTCATTCAAGTTCGATCTGATGATGGAGGGCGCGCAAATTCTCGGATTCTTCGATGGGTTCCTACCATATCCAGCACATGGGACACAGTACGACAAGCAACAGTACACATATCAGTCGCTGATGGCATATACGATACTATTGCGAAACTTATCTCCAAACGAGCAGCAGAACATCCGGTCTTATCGAGGATACGGCAATTCCGCCAAGCTGGCGTACGACCACCTGAAGAGCCTAAATCAAGCAACAGACAGTGTTAATCAAAGCCGTCTCATGGCACAGCTGACAACAGTGGAAATGAAACCCGGCGAAAAAGGAATGGCGTATATCAGCCGTTGTCGTGGACTGCGCGACAGACTCCTTCGATGCGGAGGAGCAATATCCGAAGAAGCCTTTGTAACAGTTATCATCGCCGGCCTCGGTCCTCATTGGCGCTCCACTCGAGCACTCCTTCGAGCTCACGGGAAAATCTCCGAAGCAGCACTCTGCGCCGAAATTCACGTTGAACAGCAAGATATGGATCATCACGAGGAAAGACACAAGAAGAGAGCATCAGCACCAGAATTCGCGTTTCACACTCAGTGACGCTACATCAACAACAAAAATCGACAAAACAATCGTCAGACTCAACAATACGTCCCATCGTTTTGTCACCTCTGCAAGACGTCTGGACATCCTCGCATACACTGCCCGAATCAGCAGCAGTCGACAACACCGCAACGTCAACTTCGGCCTTCAAGCAACCAAGTACCTTCTACGCAGGCACATCCCACCAGTCAAGTGCAGTCTTCAACATCTTCAACTACAAAACATGCACAAGGAACAAGAAACATCGTGAGCTGCATGACAAGAACAACAGACTCTTGCATCACCGGATCACCACCCCACTACTCACCAGAAGAACAACTCGATGAGAGAACTCCTCGCCGCAAATCACTGGAGCCCAACCCGACGTATGCAGCCATCGCCCAGAGCAAGCCGTCCGGACAAGACACTTGGTTCTTGGACAGTTGCTCCGGACAGCACATGTGTTCCTCGGGTCGCTTCGTTCAACAAGAACATCAACTTCAGCGCGAAGTTGTCATCACCGTGGCCAACAACAAGAACCTGCACACACGACGACAAG